AGTTTTATATAGAACATGTTTCGTATTTATAAACACATGTTTTACGGCCTTTAAATTGTAACAGCTGTAGTTGTTTAAAATGATTACCAGTTATTCTAGTGCGGATTGTCCGTTTCCCTGCTATACTAAATAAACGTTTGCGCACTGTATTTGTGTTCAGTTCAAGATAGAAATTTTTCAACAGTGGAGAGCCATGAATGTCATTAAGTGATGAACTGGTGTTACTAATATCGTTGAAAATTATATTAACAAGTGACTGTCTTCAATTTTAGACATGGTTGTTTTATATGCTGATTTTTCAGTTGCGCTGTCACTATTAGCCAGCTGCTACTGTTGTTGAATTTTGTTTTCTAGTAATTATAGATCAATTTTTTTTTGTTCTTTATCTTTGATCCGAGCTATCTTAAATTTCGGATTGACAATTGCTGCTGCTATTAATTCATGATGGAATGATTAAATCTGCTATCTAAGGCCACACTTACCACCGTTATATTGTAGAATTGGATTGAGCTTTTGCGATGAAAAAACTGCATTTTATATTTCAAAGTAACTAAATTTGGCAGCAAGTTTTCTATTAAGTTCATTGAGTGGCAAGCACATTGCTGATGAGGGCGGATGAAATAGCATTGCTGCGTTTTCTCATAAATTTTTTTGATTAGTTTTCCAAACAGACATTTATTTTGCTTGTTGAGTTGTATATTTAAGTTGCGTTTCATGTGTGATAAATATGCAACATTACGTCTTGATGCATAACTGGAATCTTATCTGGTTTTATAATAATATGTGTATTATACAATTCGTTCAAACCAATGAAGTTCAAACACTTTTGTACTTTTTTTCTGAAAGTTACAAAATTGTTACAAAGTAAAAAAGTAAGCCTGAAAATTAACGAAAGAAAGAGTAAAAATACTGTTTTGTAAATGTAATTTGTTACATGTAAGTACTGTAAAATGTGTTGTAAAATGTAACAATGTGTTCTAAAATGTAACAATGTGTTGTAAAATGTAACAATGTGTTGTAAAATGTAACAATGTGTTGTAAAGTCTAACAATGTATTGTATTGTATTACAGAACTGTAAAATGTAACAATGTACTGCAACGATAATGAAGATAATGTACTTTGTTACACCCCAAATCCAGATACACAAATTGTGTTCATTAAATTATTAACTCTTATGAATGATTGCATTTGCTCTAATTAGTTTTCTTCCGAGCTATCATTTGAAGAGTCTTAAGTAACATTTAAATCTATTTAAAAAAAGGCCCTGGAGCTTATGAAATAAATGGGAACATAGTCTTAGAGTGTTTTGAAAACTTAACAGATTTTAAAAAAGATGAACAAAAAAAAAAAAAAAATTTTTGTTAATCTTTTTTTTTATAAGACTGGCTAGTACAGTTTGAATCTACATTATAATGCCTTATCACTACTCAACTGTCTGGCACCACAAATCGCACCAGTAGATATTGCTTGTTCTAACGTTTCTGTAACTCTTCTAAAAGTAGCTACGTTTCTTTAATCTGATAAACGATGTGCTACTTGAAGGGGTGTGGAAAATTTACCAGCCCTCCAAGATTGCAGTAAGTCTACAATTCTACACCTTTTGGATTTTGAAAACGAATCTTCAAAGATTTTTATGGGTCGACCTTGAGGCTAACCTCCTTCAGATGTTGCAGAAACAGAGAACCTATGCAAACTTATCTTAAATTCTAAATTACTGCTCTCAAATCAACTTTTATTTTTATTTATAAAGTTTTTCATTTTTTTATTGGCTGCAGTTCACTTGTCTTTAAATTAAGCGGATATGCTGGCTATTTTTAATTGTACTTTTTTTGCAAATCACCTTTCATTCATTGTACTAAAATTACTGTAACAAACTTATTGTATTAAGCTCACAGTAACCAACTTGTACTAAACTTACTGTAACGAACTAACTCATTTTTCTAAATTCATTGAAAAGAACTCATTGTATTAAACTCACTGTAACAAACTCATTGTACGAAACTCTTTCAGAATAAAGTCACATAGAAGAGAATTTCGTTCTTTTTTCTTATGTTCTTATTTTATGCTTTTCTTTCTTATAATTTTGCTATTCTGCAAATATTTCTAATTTTGCATTTTAATAAATTTGGTCTAAAAAAATAAACGGACTGACCCGGGCTGCTAAATTTTTATATCTAAACACCTTAGGGTTGTTGTTTTACTATATCAAATAATTAGCCTGGATATATGTGGGTAAAAGTAATTACATGTTTTGAAAATTAGGAAAAAAGTCTTTCAAAGTGTTTTTCATATCTACTGGGCACCGCTAATGTTGATTATTTTATTCATTAAGAATTAAATTTTTAGTAAAATCCATCACAGTAACAAAATGGTTCCTTTCTTAAAACCTTGTTGAATGGTATTTCTTAGAGATATTTAATTTATGAAAATATTCTAAAACTTTCTAATATTTTCATAAACGAACTAAGATTTTAGCGTCACTCTAATTTTTTTTTTTAAGTGGTTATTGAGATGTTCCAAGAAGTCTATACGGTTTTATAACAGACCACCACGGAAGTGTATTTAACTATGAAGCTCACGCGTTCTTCCCTACCAATATCGCTAATTGGGTTAGAGCAGATGTCTAACTTCTGACCTTTTTGGTTTTGAGCTAGAAATCTTACCATTATACCACAGCTGCACCAAAATTGTTTATCACACGTCGCTCTGAAGTGTTAGTTATAATGAATAGTTAAAGTGAACTTGTCCCTCCGGGGTATATCCCAAAGTTTTAGCTTGAGTTAAAAAAATTAATTTGTCTTGCTCGTCGGTTATAATTAAGTCTAACATGGACTTTAATTCTTTAACACATGAATTTTAAAAGGTTGGAAAAGTCACAATTTGTGTATGATGATTTTCTTCTAAACAAGACTTGAACTGAATGTCAGGTAAGCTGTTGATCAGAATGTTGACTGCTATCAAAATACCTCCTCCAACGTTAATAATTTCATAGCAAATGTGCCTAAAATTAAAATCACCATAAAATAATAAGGAGTCCCATTCGTTTGTTTTGAGGGTCTCTTTAGCAGTCTGAATTGATTTGGTAATTTCTAGGAGTGCTAGTTCATCTTTATTTGGTGGTTAGTAGATACAACCTAAAAGGAGTGATTCTTTTGAGAGCTTGAGCTTTATCCACAGCTGTTCAATGGCATTTTTAATAAGTTGTTCAATACTTTTGCGTGCATTTAAGATCGTTTTTTACGTAGAAAGCTACCCTCCTCCTATCTTTCCGGCCCTGTTTTTTGAAAAAATATTATACCGTGCAATAGCAGTATCTGGAACCTCAGTAAACCACGTCTCAGTAAGAAAAATAAGATGTGGGCAATTATTATGGCGTCAATAGATGACGAAAAGAAATGGTGAGTCTAGCAGATTTAGTTTTGTGAGTTCATCATATCGCTCTTTTTTTTCACAATTCAGTTTGTTGAAATCGTGTTGTTCTGCCTCAGTTCAGTCTTCTCTAGCAAGCAGATCTTTGTACTCAGGTGTGATGAGGCCGTGATGTCTGGCTTTCGATAAGATCAGGGCACGCGATTCAGAGTTTTTGACTATGACCTGCATGAGCTTGGTTTTTCTGAGTTCTGTTTTGGGTTTTTTATGATTAAAATCTCTGACTCTCACGATAATTGAAGTTTCGATACCAACAGCTCTAAAGAAATTTTCGGCTGCATGTTTAACTTTGTCATATTTGTTTGAGACCTCTAGTCACTATAACACTTGATTCTTTTTACTGTCATTGTTTCTGCTCATGTGCTACTTTATTTAAAAACAGATTCCGATCATTATTACTTTCGTCCATAAAGTACGCTTGGATGGGGGAGAGGGGGTCTGCAAAAACTGCATTGTTTAAATATTTGTGCTTTTTAATTCCTTATATAAATGTCAAATACATAAATGATAAAAATGATATATTTGTAACAGTTAAAAATTTTATTCACCGGGTAAATAAAAAAAAAGCAATTGGTTTTGCTCAGCGTTTTTGGAGTAATTGCTCAGCTTTAAGTAAATAAACATTTGAGCAAGATCCCTCAATCCCTCAGATCTTAATATAGCAACTAACTCCAAAAACGCTGAGTAATTGCTCAGCTTTATGTGAATAAAAATGTTATTAGAACCCCTCAAATTTTTATTTAAGTAAGGCTGAGCCATTACTGAGTAAAAGCAATTGTTTTTTTTTCACCCGGCCTTTAAACGTTAAAACAATTAAAACGTTAAAATATTATTAGACAAATATTTGAATTTTTATGACGTTAAGAAATTTTTTTCAAAATAAACAACTATTCTTTTAGTTATAACAGTTTTGGTTTCTTTTGTTTTTTAATAATTTTTCTTTTGTCTGTTTCATTCAATTATGTTTCTTTTGTCTGTTACATTCCATTAACAATTTATTTGCCTGTTACATTTCATTAATATTTCTTTTGTCTGTTACATTCCATTAACTTACAGCTACGTTATATGTAATCAACATTAAAAATTATATTTTCTATTTGCATCAAAAATTACAATTTGATTATACAAAGAAAATAAAAGTTGTAGATTAAAGTTTGTTTTTAATCGAATCACATTACTATACAGAAAAAATATATCACATTACTATATGAAATGTTCATTGTTTGACAAGAACTTAGAAGTCAAATTTTTTATTAAAATGTTTGTAAAGTATTTAAAAGAGTTATCTATCATTTTTGCAATACTTGATTAAAAATGGTTAATGATGATCTAACTTATAGTGGAATTATTTCTAGCTTATTGGTATAATTGCTAAAGATTGCTTTCTTTGTATTGGTATATTTTCTAATGTTTACATGTAATTTTGTATCATTTGTTAATTATTTGCTCCAAAAAAAAAATGACATCAAACATTAGCTTATTTGGATATTTTTAGTAATTAATATCTTTATTTTGTGTATATGAGAGATAAAATATATGTACATTTTCTCAAAATAAAATACCGCTTTTATTGGCAACTTAATTACATTAAGCTACTCTAAACAGCCATTGTCTTGAGCCAAACTGATTCGAGTAGATGAATAAAATAGGTAGGTATTGGAATCCTTGTTGGTAGGTATCAGAAACATTGTTGTTTTTTATTATAGTTGTAGCTAATACCAGTTTTTCACAGACTTTTGCGTCATTGAACTGTATTGTTCTTTTTAGTTGCACTATTTATATTGCCGTTATTATTCTCACTATCTGTTTAATTCATTTGTTGATATTAAAATTTTTTATTTTGATTGAATAATTTTAAAACAGCTTTATTTGGTTGCAACTAGTTGTATATATTTACGCTCAGTCCGGTGTCGTCTGGCCACTGCTCGCTATTAATTGATCTAAACGAGAAAAAGTGAAAACTCGTTAATAGTTAACTGGTTAAAACTAGTAGTTATTTAACTTTGGGTGAATCCATAAGAGGGGGTGTGATGCCCCTTATAGATTTTCTTTTGAATTTTTGTAAATAATTTTTTTTTCGTATTTCTATATATTTGACACTACATGTTGTTCATTAAAGAAGGAAGTAAACTAGACTGGCTGTTTAAAAATGATTTAAAATTTTGATAAAATCGTAAAATGCGAATTTTAAAGTTGGCTATTACGATAACAAAACATTACGTCATTTCATAGAAATGACAGTATAAGACTAATATCCAAAGAAAAATTTATTAAAAGTGTATTATAATTTGTGCACCTGCCCTAAAATCTAAAAATATCCCTCTTACTTAATGATTTAAACCGAAACAGAAAATACAAAAAATTGCCTCATAGTCTGGGTTCATTCCTGAGTAACAGCGTTGTACCGCGAATTAAAGATAATAAAAATGTTTATTTGAAATTTTTTTTTGATGGATTTGACATAAATGCTTGGATAAAATCAGTTTTTACAGATTCATAGAGAATTGATCTTTATTAGTCAGACGATTATTTGTAATCGAAAACCAAAACTACAATTTATGATCTTGCAGATATATACTAATATTTAGCTTTTTCATTTAATGTTTAACAGCAATTTTTTAAGAATATAGTATTTTCAATAAAAGTTTAAAGCTTCAAATAAAAGTGAATAATGCATTTAACATCTTTTAACTGATGTTGTGAACAACCAAACTTTAAACATCTTTTACCTTATGTTATATACAACCAGATTTTAAACATCTTTTACCATATGTAATGAACAGCCGGAGTTTAAAAATAAGTATTTAAACAATCAAGTCGTGAATAACGAAACCAAAAGTAAAAGTTGGTTTCAAGGAATACTTTTTTTTATCAAAAATTTTCTTTGTTAAAACAAATCTTATTTTTCAAAATGGAATTTAAAATATTAGAAAAAAATATTGTATAAAACCTCATTAAATAGCTTAAGTTATATTAAATTATTAACTTTAGTAACAAAAATAAATGGTATAAAAAAATTCTTCCAGCAATATTAAAAAATTGATTTTATGCAACTAAAACAATTTTAGATAAAAGATTTTTATACAAAAATTATATGAAATATTATGCAAAATTATACTTCAAGATTCTTTGAAATATATTTTTTTAACTTATATATATATTTTTTAATGTTCTATTTTTGAAAAAAAAAATTTATTTAAAATTAAATTAAATGATACCTGATGCTACTCGGTTTTTCATCTCCGCTATCAGATTGAGGTTTGTCTCGCTGTCTACGATTCTTAAACCAATTTGATACTTGAACTAAAGTTAATTCAGTCCGTTTTGCTAGAATTCGTTTGTCTTGGGGGGTAGGGTACTTATTGTTTTCATACCAATCTCTGAGAACTTGTCTTGATTTTTCCTTGAAACAATATACGGTTTCTTCCCCATCCCAGATTGTTCTAGGTAAGGGGTATTTTCTTCTTATTCTGTATTTTTCAACAGCACCAAGTGGTCTGCCTCTCATTTTTTCGGCATCTAAATAATGAGCATCGTGCCACATTTGTTGTAAAATTGGGTGATTTTCGGACTTAAATTTATGATTCTCAAGAATATTGTACAATTCTCGGTAACGCTCTTGATACATTGCCACGTGAGCTTTGGCTTTGACAACATGCTCGCTATTTCGAACAATATCATTGCGTGGAATAGACCACAAAAATTTTGCTAATGTATTAAAATCTTGACTTTGAATAAGTGCTTCGCAAACGCAATCAATTTGGTCATATGTATAGCTATCAATTGCGTTAACGTGTTTTTGTAGTTCAGATGTGTCTAGACTACCAATGTTACTCATGCTATTAATTGATTATATAATTATATCGGTATCAACTAATTTTTCCCTAAACAAATTGAAAACCCATATCAAATTCTCTAGTGTCAAATAACGGAAGTATATAATGACAGAAATAAGACAAACACAATAACAGTTACTTGTTAAATATGAGCCTCTAAATATTCTAACTTGTAATAAACTTAGCAATTCATCTTTCCTTGCGTTTCAAATATCACAAAGTTTCTTGTTTCAAATTTCTACGTTTTACTGACGTTTTAGCCTCAACATATTTTTTATATCTTATTGTCAAACGCATAATTTTCTTTAAAAACAAATCACACTGTTAAATAAAATACGCAAGAACAAACAAAATCCTTCATTGAAAGGTTTTTTGACAAAAATATACGAGTTTTATAGCAAAGCGATCTTCTTGTTATTGTTGTTTAATTTAATATTAAAAATAATAAACTCTTGATTGTAGAAGAGTGCTCAATATTCATAATAATAATAATAATAATAATAATAATAATAATAATAATAATAATAATAATAATAATAATAATAATAATAATAATAATAATAGCAATAATAATAATAATAATTTAAATTTTGCTATCAGAGCGTTTTATAGAAGAAAAAAAAAACAATTTTTATGGAAATTCATTGCATATTAGCAACCATTAACTACGAGAACAAAATAGAAAAATAAAAAAAAATGGTTGCTAAATTATAAGTTAAAGTAGAGTGAGTTTTACCGTCTTTAATAAATAAAGAACTAATGGAAAACTAACCACAGGTTTAATGATAAGAGAAATAATTTATTTTTGTGTCTACAATTAGAAATTATCATGCTCCTTATCTTGTCTCCTTTAAAAACAATAATTCGAATTTCTTAAAGTGCATAGATTTTTGACGTTGACGTTATAATGATAATCCATTAGGTTGAAGATGAAATCGTATTTTTACATTTAATTACCATATTTCTTCTGATTTTTCCACTCATTGGTGTTAAATGATTTTATAAGGTTTGTTTACCTTAATTTAAAAAGGGTTTCCTTTATGTTAATGAATACTTTGTATTTGTATTCATGTTTACTTGAGCTTACGGCGACTTGGTAAACATTGTTGCTAAATTATTTATTTAGTGTACAAAAAGGATTTTTAAATGCGATTACATGTTTTTTTTATTTTGACACTTTACAAAATTTTTTTTTGTCTGGTTTGATATTGGTTTAATTTGTGGTTTATAGGGATATGATTATAAATTTGCCTAATTTTGGTTATAAAATTTTTACTGAGGGGCTGTGTCAGATTATATTGTAATTGATTTTTAAAATTAATTTAACGCTTAGTTTGTCAGTTATTAGGATATCTTTGTTTGTCAGTTATTAGGTTATCTTTGTTTGTCAGTTATTAGGTTATCTTAGTTTGTCAGTTATTAGGTTATCCTTGTTTGTCAGTTATTAGGTTATCTTTATTTGTCAGTTATTAGGTTATCTTTGTTTGTCAGTTATTAGGTTATCTTTGTTTGTCAGTTATTAGGTTATCTTAGTTTGTCAGTTATTAGGTTATCCTTGTTTGTCAGTTATTAGGTTATCTTTGTTTGTCAGTTATTAGGTTATCTTTGTTTGTCAGTTATTAGGTTATCTTTGTTTGTCAGTTATTAGGTTATCTTTGTTTGTCAGTTATTAGGTTATCTTAGTTTGTCAGTTATTAGGTTATCCTTGTTTGTCAGTTATTAGGTTATCTTTGTTTGTCAGTTATTAGGTTATCTTTGTTTGTCAGTTATTAGGTTATCTTAGTTTGTCAGTTATTAGGTTATCTTTGTTTGTCAGTTATTAGGTTATCTTTGTTTGTCAGTTATTAGGTTATCTTTGTTTGTTCTCCTGATTGTTTTAATGCATATTCATAAAGAGAAAATTTGCTAAAAGTAAGCTCATTTGCTAATATAGTCTAAATCTTAACTCAATGTTTTTTTTTGAAGTTTATTTATAATGCTAAATTGGTGGATGAAAAATATGTGTATATGACGTAATTATAAAGCCAAGAATTGTTAAGAATTCCGAAAATTGCTAAAGGTGAGTTTCCACTCATCCGTTTTTAATGGGAACGAGAAAGAGAAGGGGAAAGTAACAACGTGGACATGCGTATTATAATTTTTAATTTGTCCAAAGTAAAACTACGCATGCTCACGTGATTATTGTTGTCTTTCTTATCCCGTTCCCGTAGAAAAACGGATGAGTGGAGACTCACCTTTACATCATTATCTTACGAAGCAGAAAATAACTTCCGGTTTTGCAGTGCACTGCAAAATCATGCTATGAAATGAATATATAATAAGGACTTTTAGGTGCAGATTTTAATCCATCTTTTTGTTACTGATTGCCTAGCACTTCATTTTAACCAAGCTGTTGGCACTAATATATTTACTCCAATCTCAGATGTAATTTTATCAAACTCAAGTTCATTCGTAATGCCCTTTTTCTGTCGAGGCTGTAAGACTCCTTCCAAAAGCGCAAACTTTGAAAGAAATCCTTGCTAGAAAGCATACAGAAATGCTACAGATACTTCAGTAAAACAGCGGCCCATACCGCAGTGGCTTATAGATGAAAAAGAAATTAGCTCTAGAAAGCAAAAATTCGCAAACACTTTTGCATTAGCAACAAAAAAAGCTAAAAACTATAATCCTAATGTTTAGTTTCTTTAATACTTGTTTGTTTTTTTGAAAAATATATTTTTTTTTGTTGGCAAAAGTTTAAGATGAGAAATAATAATTATGTAAATGAATCATTTTGTCGAACGAAATTCAATAAATCTTCTCATCTTAAACTTGCTTAAATGAATCATTTTGTCGAACGAAATTCAATAAATCTTCTCATGTATGTATGTATGTGTGTATGTATGTATGTATGTATATACAGCCGACGTATAAATAATGTTTATATATCTACATAAAGTTGGTGACGCTTCATCATCGGAACAAAAATCATGTTTGAGTTGATAGTGATTTGATATTTTAATAATCACGGAAAATTTTATTTTTGCGATGTATTTACATACATTGAATCAACGTTGATTTATATATATTGAATCAACGTCGAAATATACACATTGGATCAACACGTTGGGTTTAGATCGTAAAAACAATCAACTTTTTGCGATGTTTTTACATACATTGGAAAGAAGTTGATTTATATACATCCCAGCTAGCACACTTACTTTATTACACTTAATTAACTTGAACTAGAGACTTTAAAATTAAGAGTACAATAAAAACGCAATTAAAAAATGTAACAAATGCTTTGAAAAACGATAAAAGAACTGTAATATTTAAAGAAACATATGTTCAAAAAAACATCTTTTCAAAAAAAAGTTCTCAATTACATCTTTTCAAGACGTAATTGAGAACTTGAAACCATATGGTCAAGGTGACCATATGGTTTGTTTTTCAGTAGTAATATACTATCATTAAAGTAAAAAAGTGATAAAAAAGGCATTTGCAGTTTTTGGCGATAAGTGGAAAAATCCTATTGGGTGTTATTTAGAATTTCCTATTTTTTGTTTGTAAAAAATTTGAAAAATTGGATGAATAATAAATAAAACACAAATAATTTATTTACAAAAAAATATAAAGGTTTAGATTGAGTTTAAACAATGTCATTAAAAATCATTATAATATTGAGTTAAACACCAACTTGGGCAACTTCTATATTTAAAAACATTGCGTAATGCTTCTCAGTATGTTGAGCAACACGCGCACAATCAATTCCTATAATTATATTTTTGGAGCAGTACTAATCCTTTCCAAATTTTGCATTCGTTGTTCCATAATCCCATCACGAAAATCAGATGAATGCAAATCGCATTTTTAACATTAATTTAATTTTAGCAGACGTATTCACATCTCTCCGTTAAGGTGTTCCTATACTAATTAAATCAAAACTTTTAAAATGCACTCATATTTTATGATTTTCATATAAGAAATAGTATTTTATATTTAAAGCACAGTAAAGGAAAAATAAATAAAAAAATTTTTTTTTGGTCAAAATTTGGGGTCCATGGACCCTAAATATTGTCTACGCGCTGCGATAATAAGCCTGTAAACTAATAATGGTATGATCATGAAATTTTCACAGCTTTTGAATATCAGATGATTACACTCACCCTGCCAAAATTAAATAATTTAACAAACTATTGAAGTTTTTGTAAGAAAACTGGTTTAAGGCCTAAAAATAAGCCCCAAAAAGGCTCAGAACCTAGACCTTAAAACACAGAAAAAAGAAAATTTGAAAAACACTTAATAAAAATAGAATTATTCAATCTATAAAAAAAAGCTTGAATATAAAAAGATAATATACAATAACTACATGAAAAAATACAATAACTACCTTAGCATAAATTTAATTTAAAAAGTAACAAAAAACTAATATCTAAAAAACTTCTACTTCATAAGATGCACCTTCACTTTCATTTACTATATCTGTAAAACCTTTTCGTTCAATGCAGCTTTCTTCTTTGTTTTATTGATTCAAGCAACTTTTTTTCCATCATCTTTATTCTTTCTTGGTCTATTTTGGTACAGTACTGAGTAGCAAATATACCTGGTGTACCTCACCATGTGCTTTGGAATCCCCGACTCCAAAATATTTAGTATATCGAACTACCCTTTTGTCAATAGATTTCATAAAACAATCTACAATTCCAGAAACTTCCATAGATCCAGCAAAACCTTCGTGATTATTTAAACAATCATGGGTTTCCAAAAAATTTTCATAAAGTTCTGGATTGCTATTTTTTTTGATTCCCATGATGTACAAGCATTGCATATTTTTGAAAGAACTCGATAGTCAACACATTTCCCTGAGTCACTCGCAATAACAGTAACAACAACATTAAGTAAGGAATGACCCCTTTTTTGCCAAGTTCCATCACAGAAAATAACAACATCAGCTATTACATTAATATCAAAATCATTTGGTTGGATATCGTTGTTAAGATATCAAAATTTATTTGCTGCATTTTTCATTTTCACATCAGCTACACTTTGGTATATGATATGAATTTATCTTATCTTGAATATCATTATCTTGAATATCATTAAATGATTTTTATGTTCATTGGAAGAGGTAAGTTCATTAAACCACAAATTTCTCCAAACCAGAATGACCTAAGAATTTTCCTATCTCTCTCATTGCAACAACAGATCTATAATTTATTTCAAATGGTGACATTCCTGGATCTTGCTTTTCAATCTCTTTGCTAGAATAAAAAGACTGTTTCCAATCGCACGAAGATGTTGCACAAGAAATGTTTAAAAACACTGCCAAGTCTTTCTTTTTTGATAAATCAGTTGAGATTTTAACTGAATTGTTATGGCATTGAGGACAATGTCCAATCAAAGTTACAATTGATTTTAAAATGTCTGTATCAATAAGTATAAAACATGAAGGTAATATATTTAAATCATTAATTTTTGCATTACTATTTTTACTGCTATGTGATAACTTTTTTGAAGATTTTTATGTCAAAATTTTTGATTGAGTTGAGTTAGTGATTTCCGATTGAGAAGTTAAATTAATGCTGGTTGTTGATGCTGAAGAAAATTGATTTCCTCTAAAGTATATTTTTTTGTCCTGTTACCACCTGCTTTTCTTCTTAAATTTGAATCACATTTAATTTTTCCCATAACAAAAATAAGCACGAGGCAAATAAAGTATAACACGAAGCTGATAGTTTTTCTATAAGTAATATATGTAAACGTAGTAATAGTACTTAAAAATCATGGTTTATTTAGAAAAATAAACAGGAAACAGTTACTGGCACCAATGTCAAATACTTATAGTAAGTGGCGCAACCAAGGCCTTCTTTATTAGAAGGTTTCGGCACCGTGCGGGAAATTTTTTGACTGAAGGCCAATTAAAAATAAAAATTGGCGGACCAGTAAAAGTTATATAGCTTTGCTAAAATTTAA